GACCAAAAAAAAAAAGAGTCTCACAGATTTTCCTGCCCAAACCATGATCCTCAGATCTCAGCCTCCTGAGTAGCTAGAATGACAGGCGTGAGCCACCAGCGCCCCTGTTGAAGTCTATTACTTACAACCAAACAACCTGGTTGATCCAAAAGCTAACCCACCCTTTCCGGTGTGGTGAGATTCTCTCCCAACAGCTTCCCTTACCAGCATCCTCTCTAGCAAGTGCTAGCAGGGTTTGGTAAGGCTTCTGCTTAGCAAGTGTGAGGTCTTGAGTTCGAATCCACCCCCTCCCCAGCACTTGAGGAGGAAGAAGGCCTGATAAGGGTTAAGACTAAAAAGATGAGAGATTGGGGTGTTTGAGGGTTTGTTTGTTTGGCAGCAATTAGGTTTTAAACTCAAGGTTTAGGGCTTTGGTAGGCAAGTATTTTAGCCCTAGGGCCTAGCCAACAGGTTTGTGTTAGTGAATTTGCAAGTAAAGTCTTGGACTTTTTACCAAGGGGCCCACTCAGGACTGCGATCCTCCTATCCATGCCTTTGAAAGAGCAGGGATTACAGAAGACACCACCGAACCCAGCCAAAGATGAGATCTTGAAATACTTACTGGGGCGGCCAAGGCTCTGCCAGCCAGGCAGAGGAGAAAGAAGATCCAGGCTCTCATGGTGATGCTGGAACTCTGTAGGAAGGAGAAAGAGAGAGAGAGAGAGAAGATGAATGTCCTTGAGTTAAGCCATAATTCCACTTCCAGCTTTTTGGGGGTGTGGTTTATTGGAGATAAGAGTTTCACGGACTTTCCTGCCAGGGTTGGCTTCGAACTGCGATCCTCAGATCTCAGCCTCCTGAGTAGCTAGGATTACAGGCGTGAGCCACTAGCGCTGGGAGCATCCATTCTCCTTTGTCTCGGCCACCTTCTGGCTCAGAACCAGCACTGGAAACTAAAGACAGCATGGACACCATAGAGCTGTTTGGCTTTCTTTGTGTTCAGTTTTGCAGTTTCTTTGAATGGATGACAGAGGGGCCCAGAGTTCTCCATGTATGGCTACAACCGAAAAGTCTCTTTTCTTAAATACATTTATTCAGATCTTTAAGAGGTGAATCAAGGGAGGTGAGAGGTTAATGAGTCAAATAAGAGCAATCAAGGGTAGAGCCAGGCCTCCTTCGCCCTCCATCTTAATCTCTGAGGTTCCGAGATTCTTTTCTGTTTTATTCTCAAATCTCTCCCCCTCCCCCTCCCTCCGCCTCCAACTGAAGACGCTAATGGACGATAGTAGCTTCTTGCCAATTTAAGACAAAGAGATCCACAGTGAAGACAAAGAACAATAGTCTTGGAATATGGAAGTCTCCATGGAAACTTGAGGGTGGCTCACATATTTCTGTGTGTGTGTGTGTGTGTGTGTGTGTGTGTGTGTGTGTGTGTGTGTGAGACACAGTAATCATGGGGCCTGAACTCTGGGCCTGGGCACTGCCCCTCAGCTCTTCAGCTCAAGCCTAGTGCTCTACCACTTGAGCCACAGCACCATTTCTGCTTTTCTGATAGTTAATTGGAGGTAAGAGTCCCATGGACTTTCCTGCCCAGGCTGGCTTTGAACCACGATCTGAGCCTCCTAAGTAACTAGAATGACAGGCATAAGCCACTAGCACCCAGCAGACAAATTTGACTTTGCTAACTATGTGAATTTCCGTTTCCAAATGGCTCCGGAAAGTTCTTCCATTAGGCTCTTCATTTCTGCTTCCTTCTAAGACCTCTCACCTGAGCAAGTCCACCGCTGGTGGGTAGCTTGGCATTCTGGGTAAACCACTGGGCTTAGACTAGAATGCCAGGCTTCTTCTATCCACCTCAGTACTGGTTGAGTCCTTTGTCCTGACTAGACATCGCTTCTTCCATCCATCCATCCATCTATCCATGGGAAGATTACACTAGATGCCTTTGGAGATGAGTCTTATAAGACTCTGAGACCATCACAGGCAAAGCTGGAGGTATAGCTCAGTGGTAGAGTATGTGTTTAGCATGCAGAAGGACCTGGGTTCAATCCTCCTCCCCCTCCACACACACACTAGAAGCACAGCTGGCCCTTACATTGTGTCTCCTCTGTTATTACTCATCTTCCCCTGGAGGATAATATTAGAGTAGCGGAAACAGGCTAGAGGAAGAACATTCTAGAATAATCTTTTACGGGGCTAGATGAGACATAAAAGCCAGCCTCCCATGGGCTATGCATGGGATTAAAAACAAAAAAATTGAGCCAGCCACCTGGGGCTCCTGTCTATAATCTTCGCTACTCAGAAGGCCGAGGTCTGAGGTTGGAGGTCTGAATCCAACCTGCTGGGCAGGAAAATCGGTGAGACTCTTATTATCACCAAAAGCCAGAAGTGGAGGTGTGGCTCAAGTGGTAGGGTGCTAGCCTTGAGAGAAAAAAGAAAAAACTCAGGGACAGTGCCCAGGCCCTGAGTTCAAGCCCCACGACCAACACAACACAACAAAAACGAACAGGAATTTCAATGATCTGCCGTGGGAACTTCGCACTGCTTCACCATGGCCCCAAGTCCCAGAGGAACCTAGCGTTTCCTTTCCCCTCAAGTTCTGGAATGTTCCTCCCCTTCACACCATGCCTCACTTATTTCCCCAAGAGGATGGACAATCAATCTTCCTTCTTGCTTTCCTCTTCGGAAGGCACAAGCATGCACCTTTGGACACATGAAACGGGGGAGAAAACATCGAGGACTTGTCTGAGATTGAGGTTGAAGAGCCAAAGGAAGACTGGCAGCTAAGACCCCAGACAACTCGTCCCCTCCCAGCCAACAATGAACACAAAGCCAAGTCACGAGAGAAACAGTCCAGACAGGACTTGGCTGTGGAATCAACTTCCGGTTAACACACCAGAAAGATGCCAGGCACCGGTGGCTCACGCCTGTCATCTTAACTACTCAGGAGGCTGAGACCTGAGGATCAGGGTTTGAGGCTGGCTTGAGCAGGAGGAAAGTCCCTGAGCCTCTTATCCCCAATTAACTAACAAAAACACCAACAAAAAAGGCAGAAGTGGAGCTCTGGATTAAGTAGCAGAGGGCCAGCCTTGAGTGAAAAATGCTAAGGGATGGTGCTCAGGTGCTGAGTTCAAATCCCAGGACTGATGTGGGGTGGGGGGTGAAGGAAGGGGGAAGGTCATGGTGGGGGGAGGGGAGACAGACAGACAAATAGAGAGAAAAAGAGAAAAAGAAGGGAAGGAAGCAAGGAAAGAGAGAGGAAAGGAAGGAAGGAAGGAAGGAGGGAAGGCTATAGAAAGGAAAGAAGTAGCCAATACCTGGTTAAGCTCCTTTCCACTTACATGGGGCCCAGTGAGCCTGAGCTGGCCCTGAGATATAGGAAAGGGAAAAAAAAGCCCCAAGCTAGAGAGGAAACGGAGGCGTATTTCCCTTGGCTAGGTGAGCACCAAGCATAGACACCCCTTGCCCAGCCCCTCCACCGTCACCGCCTTGGGTTCTGGATGTGGTTCAGCCTTTATTTGCTCTGGAGAGAGCTGACCACTAGTATAGGCTGCCAGGAGGACCTGAGGCTGAGGTCAACTCTCTCTCTCTCTGGAAAGGTTCTGGGGTTGGAAAAATACAGTTACCCTCATTCCCCCCCCCCAGCTTACCTCTTTTTTTAACGTAAAGGGTCTCACTGAATGACCCAGGATTCTAGACTGTGTGTCTCAGGATTAGAGGCTCTGAGAAAGAGCAGCACTGAAGCTGATTTGCACATCTTCCCATCTAAGCGAATCTCAAAGAAGCATGCTTAAAGCTGGGCACGGGGGGGGGGGGGGTTCATGCCTACCATCCTCATGGCTCGGGAGGCTGAGATCTGAGGATGGCAATTTGAGGTCAGAAAGTCTATGAGACTTTTACCCCCCAGTGAGGCTGGAAATGGAGCTGCGGCTCAAGTGGTGGAGCAAAAAGAACAGAGCTAAGGGACAGAGCCGGTATCAAACATAAAATAAAAATAATAAAATAAAAGTGACTTCACAATGTGGAAGTCAAGGATTTTGAGACTCATTTCTGGGAACAAGTCAACCTTCATTGTTCCCAGCTCACTGCAAAACATAGTAAAATCTCTGGCCTCTAGACCTAAGCTACTGGAACCCCTGTACAATGAGAAGACCTATGCAAGGTGCTGGTGATTCACACCTTCAATCCTAGCTGTTCAAAAGGAGGCTGAGACCTGAGGATCGGGGTTAGATTCTGGCCCAGAAAAGACTAATCTGAACATTTCTCATCTCTAAATAACCATTAAAAAAAAAAATCAGAGGCCGGGCACTGGTGGCTCACGCCTGTCATCCTAGCTACTCAGGAGGCTGAGATCTGAGGATCGAGGTTCAAAGCTAACCTGGGCAGGAAAGCCCATGAGACTCTTATCTCCAATAAACCACCAGAAAACTGGAAGTGGAGCCAGTGACTCAAAGTGGTAGAGCGCTAATTTGAGTAAAAAAGCTCAGGGAGAGTGCTCAGGCCCCGAGTTCAAGCCCCATAACTGACAGAAAAAAAAAAAGAGGGGGAAAAATGGAGTGGAGCTGAGGAGTGTGGGTTCCAGGTGACCTTGATATTCTTTTCATCTCTTCTTTTTTCTTTTTTGTCAGTCGTGGGTCTTGAACTCTGGGCCTGGGCACTGTCCCTGAGCTCTTCAGCTCAAGACTAGCGCTCTACCACTTGAGCCACAGCGCCACTTCCAGCTTTTTCTGTGTATGTGGTACTGAGGAATCGAACCCAGGGCCTCATGCATGTGAGGCAAGCACTCTACCACTGAGCCACCTTCCCAGCCCAACACCCTGTTTTCATGAGTAATATTTCTCCCTGGCAAGGAAGAGGAAGAGGTTAAAAGAAGCCTAACGAGTATTGGTGAAGTTCTAGGGGCAAATCAGAGACTCCAGGGTTTTGCGGCTAGACTCCACCCAACTGAGATTCCATAAACATCCAAACACGGCTAAGTTGCCACGTTTCACTGTGGCTAGTCCAGACTCAGGGTGGGGCTTCAGCATCCATAAATAACATCCAAGTGTCCAGGTTGTCCCTTCCCTGGGGAAGGCCTCCAAGACCCCAGACGTGGCAGTGTGACTCCCCCTGCTCCTTCCGTGCAGACATTACTAATCGATCCCAAGCTCCTTCGAACCCAGTTCTTGGTTCCCTAGTGAATGGGCCAGGAGAAAGTTCTTTGCTATGCCTCTTAAAGATAAAGAGAACAGATCTTGGGGCTCAGAGGGGGGAAAACAAGTCACTTAGTTTCCTCCAGCAAGTGGGTGGAACCAAACTGCCAGATGTTCAGAAACAGGCTAGCTGTTTGCCTTGCTTTACTTTTTGCTTGTTTGGTTTTTCTTTTCTTTTTTCTTTCTTCTGAGATCCTAATGCTATTGTCGTGACCTAAAGGGATGCCTCCCTGCACACACACCCCCCCCAATAAGTTATTACTAACTTTCTGGATGAATCCAACAATGGAGACAATGTTTAGTTGTCCTATGGACATCAAGCCAGGGTCAAGCTTCTATGGCCTGCACGCATGACTGTTTAATTTATCTCAGGGCTAAGGAGGAGGCTGCTTTTCTAAAGGATTCTGTCTTAACTTGCTGATTCTGGCCTAGAAGACTCATCTGCTTCATTATTTAGGATGGGAGGGAGGGAGGGAGAGGGGGGAACAGGGAGGAAGAGAGA